AATAATCATTTATTAACTCATAGCTTAATAAAATCAGTAAGTTCACTGTGTTAAAGTGTTTGATTGGCTAAAGATATATTTTAAAAACGCTCCTCCTCTATATGTTTAAAAGTAAAATCAGAAAATAGAAAACCCTTCACTGTGCTGGTAACGTTAATTAGATGTTAATAATGATAAGTGATGTCAATTTGATGTTAATAAACTGTCACAGCCAGATCAGTATGAACCTTAAAGAACCCTCAGTCATGATAAATGATAACACCCTCATTTGATGCATGATGTTCTCAGCTCAGGGAGTAGAACCCGTGACTTATTCCCTCCTGGCACTCCACTCCATCCCCCTCATCAGGGGCATTTCCTCGGACACCTGTCCACCATCCATCCTCCAGACCCCTGTCATTGGACTCTCAACCTCTCTGTCAGCGACTCGTTTGAAGCTGCATTATCAGGAAAAAGAACAAACATCCTTCTCCCACAAATATCACAAAACTCCATCAGTCCATCTATCTAAATTCCTATAATTATCAATATATAATTATCAATTATCATTCATCATGGGTAAGTCAATGGTTCATATTGCAGGTTCATACTCTCTGTCACCTCTCTGGGAACGTTGATCACAAACTCACACAGGTGATCCCTGCGTTCACCTTCCTGGATCTTCTTCAGCTCAGACAACCTGAACAGGTGATAAGAGACACCAGCACCCTGCTGGCAACCAGCCAGCCAGAGTCCATCCTTCCACCCATCATCCTGTTCCTGTCAAGTTTTCCTGAATTGAGTCATCACATTTAGCATTTTATCTGCAACACTTACGGTTTTTCTTCATGCACCAAATTTCACAAGTCATTATAAGTGTTATACAACATCACTCTAAAATGCTATGTCTTCAATCATGTTAGTAGTTGTTAAAATTCATTATTAGATATTTTCTGTCAGTATCTGTTAAAGAATAATAAAAATAAGTAAAAATAGTGTATTCCAACTCTGTTAGCACTTGTAAAAATCTTACCTGAGATAAAAACATCTATAGATTTGATTTAATCTGCCTGGAACTCTGTCACTGAACATTTGAAGTGATTTTGAAGTCAAATATCCAGCAAAGTTCTTGCTCCTTATATTATATTCAATATTCCAGCCTAATTTATCATCAAAAACAACCTCTATAATTTAGCTCATCTCATTATAGAAAAATCAACAGTCTTTACTTAAAATCATGAATTGTGTCTTTCCTGATTATCAATATTTACATGTATTCAGTCCTCCATTACACTCTGACACCTCACTGGTTGTCCTGTCTGCCCAGTTTACAGTTTTAGGTTCTCAATTCTCCTTATGGCATCTCCTGTAGAGAGAAAAATATGGGGGGGGGGGGGGGGATACAGCCATCCATCTCTGCTGCAGCACTTTATAGTTAACAGTTCTAAAAAGCATTCACAGTAGTTATTTTAGTTCAGCACTGCTCCAGAGACCTGTGAAGGGTTAATGTTGTTCAAGATATACAAATCACATCAATTAAGTAATCCTTAAAGATGATCTTTGTTTAACCAGTAATTTTTAAAGGGACATGCAGTGGTGAAGTGAAAATTTCTCTTTTGAAAACATAAAATTACCAACTTTAATCTGTATTTCTTTAATTTAACACTAAGACTATATGTTAAAACTGCCGGGCACTTGCTGTGAGATAATCCCAGCTCTCATCACGACTCCTTCAATATATTCTGTTAAATCTCATAGTTAATGTCGACTTGTATCACCGTTTAAAACTGTCCATAATTTAAAAGTGGATCCATTTATCTGTCAATTAATCT